ATAAGGAAAACATTCCTGGATCGCCACTCGGGCATGCCTGTACTAAATAAAAGGTTACATAATGTCTACAGAAGAAAACCTCAAGATCGTATCATTAAACTTCAGGACATTTCCATTTGCAACTAAAGGGGTGAATAATTAACACTGAACTCGTAAAAACCACAATGGACAAATTATTTATGATGTCAATAACAATCTGGTCCGTCTCAATACTGGAGAAGACACCAGGGTTAATGTTGCGTCCAGAATATCTCTTTCATCGTTTGTGTTGTTTTGGTTTCGGCGAGTGGAGCGACTCATGTATTGTTATATTTTGTCAAATGAGGGCGCTGCTTTAGCACTCATATCCTGTCCATACCGCCATTTATGACACACTGAACAGAGAATTTCCTAGACAAATTGCCATAATTTTGCCCTCATTTTGGTGTAAATTTGGACAGCTCAGCAAAGTGAGCAGTGATCTTTAGTTCTGGATTCAACATGGAAAATTTCGTATTAAGTTTGTAACCGATAAAGGCCATAAATGAAGAGTTTTGTCATAAAAATCTTCCATGTGGTTAGGAACCTCGCCTCCCTAACAAATGGGGGCGCTGTGCATGATGCATATGTAGGTCTTGCATACCGCTCTGTTCTGGAGAAGTTTGTTATTTGTTATATATTCTAAGACACTTTCTGACAAGGTACATGTGTTTTTAGGGTTTAGATACAATACGCATTGAGTCTGCGTTCTTGACAGGAGTATTGCATGCAAGTCCACGCCTCGCTGCTGTAAAGAAGGGTGCTATGGATGCAGGCATAGAACATCTGCATCTTGGTATTGGTGGTAAGCATGGTGTGGTCCCTCTTGGTAGGTGGGCCATAGCTGTTTAGGTTCTGCCTGCACAGGAGCTAAGCTCAGCGTCTAGAGAGAGGTTGCTCGAAATGGATGAACTAAGGTTCAGGTACATACAGATGAAATTGTCTATGACCCCTCATGTGTTGTCACCAATTTAGGTGTTGGGAATGGAGCTGACATCTTGCCCCATGATGTTGGTATTTTATAGACTGATCAGAAGACCAAACTCCTTGCAAGCATGCGCAACAAAAGTCATTGTAGTCCTTCTTGTATGTGTGTGCTACTAGTGTTGCATCATCTGTAAAGAGCTGTTTTCAGGGAAGTACTGCCTCCAGTTTGGTCTATGCTCTCAGGTGGGCAAGGTTAAAGAAGCCGCCGTCACTTCTGGAGTGAATATACACGTACAGTGTACATGTAGTTCCCATCCTCCGACTAGGTGAAGGCAAAGATGGCAAACAGGATTTGCACTACAACACAACCCTCCTTGACTTCACTCTTGATAGTAATAAGTCAGAGGTGGAACCATCATACTGGACAGTGACTTTCATGTTCACATGGAAAGACACAATCAGGCTTTGAAAAACCTTAGAATCTCAATTAATAAACTTCAATTTATAAAAGGGTACATGTATGTGCCATTGCTATGAAAACTACTAAAGCTGCTAAAAAATAAGAATTGTAAAGATTTTGCGATAATATTAATCCTAAGACTAACCAAAAGTTATTAGAAACGAGATGAAATGGATTGATCCTATCCAAACAAGGGGTAGTATCCAGTTTAACACTACATTGGCAATGATATCATCACTGGTACTTACAAAGAGGCACTAGTCATCAACAACTTTGCCAAAATCAGTAGAACTGAAAATTACAGTCCCTCTTCCATCAATACTTACATGTAACAAGACATTGAAAACAATCTCAATCTAACTGATATCAATGATACTGCAATGTAATTAATGAACCATTCAATCAATATCAATGAATTGAATCATGCCATTGATTCCTCCAAATGCACAACACCTGGCAAGGATGGAATAAACAGTAAGGACATCAAACATTTTCCCTTAAAAGCCAGGGAATACTTTTAATCTTCAACATGATTTGGCACACTTCTCAATGTCCCAAACAGTGGAAAGATATTATCCTCATTCCTATTCTCCAACTGGGGAAAGATCCTTCCATACATTGTATCTTCATTTTGCCATCCTATCCACTCCACACCACATCCTTAATCTTGAATCAGCCATCAACAAAGTCTGAAAAACAAGTGAAAGAATCTCAGGAAATGTTGTCCCCCAGGGCAACATTATAAGCCCACAACTCTTCAATGTTGAACACTCTCACAACCTCCTTGATGTCAGAGTTTGTCAATATGCAGATACCAGTAATATATATGTATACCGGTAGCAATTTCGAAGTCCAACAGAAACATCTCTTTCGTTGAGAAGAAAACCAAAAAAAACTCTCAACAACATTCTTTCCTAGTTCGAAATATGGGGTTTCAAGCTATCTCATCCCAACACAATTGCAGTCATTTTCACAAAGAAGACCAATAACTCTCTCTTTAAGTTTATCCAAAATCACTGAACGCAAATCCTGCAATCGACCAAATTAATAGATAATATTGCTGTAAAGTACAAAAGAAAACTTAACTGCTGTATCAACAGAATCACATTGGGCACTGACTGTAATGTACTATTTCAGTCATACTCTGTCTTAATAGACGAGTTCACTAAAAGTTCTAATTTATGTACCCGTGCACATAAATGGCAAGTGGAAGTAACAAATTTGAGCAGCCCATTGAAATTGTACAGGGGCACAAATTTCAATGTCATTTTTTTCACAGCTTCTGCACTTGTTTTCACTTTTGTCTACAGCAAACCCTCTAAAATCATTATGGCTATTACTTTCTGATGTGAGCGAGATTTTTAGCGAACACAAAACTTGAAAAATGTGGTTCATTCAAAAAGCATGAGGTCCGTTCTGTGTGCATGAGCTGTGAAACCAAAATGTGCGATATGTTTGGGTGCCATCCAGCATTCTCAGTTGATCACCTACTGGTACATGTACATATAAGTGGCGAATAAATATCTAAACCCTGTCTGAAGGAAGTGTAGCCTGCAATTTAACCTGCGATTCTGCTTAGTACAAGTGATGCATAGTACCTTAGAGTACAAAACTATATACATGTAATTGGACAGGGTCAGAAAGGAGCCCTAGTTCTTTTGACATCGATCATGTACTTGGGGAGAAAGCAAAGCTTGTTTTTTGTTATTTAGAATAAAACCCCTTTAGATCATTGCAAAAAGTAAAAGGTACATGTACAAGTATTATTTTGGGGGTTTTCTACAGACAAGAGTGAAAAAAGGTATAGAAAGGGGGCAGAATCTGTCCCCTCCCATTTTTTTTCCTATCAGTATATTGGCCAAGTGCATTTCTTTAAGAGCTGAGCCCTTGAAAAGTTTTCAGAGTAACCCTCTGTGGTCATTTTAACATGAATATTGTGAAAATGATACATGTATATGCTTTTCTTGGGCAGCGTAGATTTTTCCACGACAAATTAGTCAAAAATGTATACTTTTTCACTGCGGTACTCAACGTACGCAGGCTGGTACTGGTACCCATAGCTGGTACACATGTATGGTACGCATGTAGCCTTGAACATGTGTCTTTACATGCCTGGTACATGTAAGTTTTTTTACAAAATCGACCAAGGTGCTGCCGAGTTCTTGGGGAGGAAATCCCCTTCCCCCTTCCTCTCCACTGTGACATGGGCCAATATAACCCTGCTCTTTTAGGGTTAAGTATTCTAAGATTTTCAGATGAAACAGTGATACCAGTACATCTACATGTATAAACTTTTTATGTTCAAAGCTGAGTTACATGTATTTACCATCCTCCATTCCTGCAGGCCACACATGTACAATGGATTAAAAAAGTCAAACTTCTTCATTGCTGTATTTTTAGTGATTGTCTCAGTGTCATGCAAGCTACATGTACATGTATTTCTAATCCCATACCTCAGAAAAAAAAAGTTTGTGACATCCAGCTACATGTATCTTCATTAATATTCAACATCAGGGTAACCATTGCAGTATTCCGGGTGATGGGGGTTCCAATATCTAGGTTTGATCACAATTACAATTCAAATCTTTTATTCTTTATTTTCTTTTACATAAAATTCCACATTTCACGGATTCCTCGAATTCCAATTACTCAAATTCCCAATTTCCAAATTTCCTCGAATTCCCCGAATGCCAAGCCGGTGTGCGACCGTGGACTTGGCCTTCCAGACAGCACCTAATAATGAACAGTGTGTGGAGTAAAGATCGAAACCCTAGTGTAAATCATACGAGTCACCACACAAACAAACAGTTGAAGTACAATGTAGAAGCGTACATGACAATATCACATGTACGCTTCGCGTGAAACTTTTACAATCAAGACTGTGAATTTTCACTCCAAAATCACTCATTCCCTGTTCTGCTATGACCCCCAATAATCATCAAGTCGGGTCACACACTATGGAATCATAGATCGCGAAGGTGAAAAGACTACAAATCAGCTGTAACAGTGCAAAAAGCTAGTTTTCATGGTAACAAATTAATCCCAAGATACTCACTCTGTGGTGCCCACACTAGAAAGGATTATAATTATTACTCATACGCCCACCGCACCGCATCGAATTTGTTATACATTTCTTGGTGGCATGAAAATAAACTCTGGTGCCCCCTAAAACACGCTTCCCCACATTTTCAAAAACCTTTTAGGCTACGGTATGTGCCAGGTGTACATTTATTGACAATGCACAGTCAATTTAAGTTTTATTCCACAGGCTTTAAAATTTGCCATTTGTCTCAATTCCCATATGGAATCGCCCAAAAGACTTTGCCTACATGTGTACACATGAAGGTACATCTACATGTACAAGTACATGTACCTTCAAAATTCCTTCATAACAAATACCCTGATAACAGCATATGTGATTCATGAGGTACTACTGAAGATTTTTGGTACTCGTAGCACACTGACACAAACGTTAATAAATTAAAACTTTTCCCGCTTTTTCTTGTGACTGAGACAAAGGGAAAATAAACTTTCAGGATTCATTAATGAAACTCAAGTACTTTTGATTGATGAGCTGTAATGAAAATAAACTTACCAATTTTTGGATGCATACGTTGTAACTCTTCTCTTAATCAATTAGTAATATCGTCTTGAAAGGTTGATGGCAAAGAGATGAATAAGTAGGAACAGGCTGGATGTTAACTTCTTAACAGCTGTCTGGGTGGAAAATGGCAAATTACAGTGGATTCAATTATTTACTCCAAAAAAATCATTTAGAAAGACTTTGTAATCAAACAGGCTAATCAATAAACACCACTGGTTGGAATAAAAGTCTGAAGACCAAATAGTTAGCAACCAAGTCAAGACTCAACCCCCAAAAGACCTCAGGAATCATAGAATTGTTAGCAAAGATACCAATTTGTCAGTGTCTGCACTTCCTAAGGGCCACAAGTTGTATATCTTTTTGGAGAGGTATTTCAGGTCATTTATGGTTGGACAAAGCTCAAAGGAGAATTAGTTTTTCATAGTTTTATAACTTAAGTCTTCCATACAAAAAGCCATTACTGGTTTAAATAGAGTCAATTAAAGTGCAACACTCGGATTTGTTATGTTTTTTAATCGTTTTCAGCAATGCTACAAACGTTACGTAGGCCGTAGGCCAAGATTTCACATGCAAGCTTAGGCAACTGAGGCTTTAGCAACCGATAACTTGATTCACAATGATAGGGGAGATGGGGGTTAGTTCAAACGATTTTCACAAAAACATATCCATAACCAGGGTTTTTTCAAGAAATAGCAACTCTACCAATTTATTTATACACATACATGTATGTGTTATTTAGATAATCCATCTCGATCACAACTAAGATATGTGTTCCAACTAACCTCTTTTACAGCGTTCATACGTTGGAACATGATATGAGGTAAGTTGGAACATGGTATGCGGATAATCTAAACGTATACACGTACTTGAATGACTTGAAAACTGGATTTATACTTGAGTTCAAGTAAGATAGTTGTTCCAAGCAGTGGTGATGCTCAAATATCAAACTCGGTTGCAACAGTTCGATACTTGTCTGTGATTTACAAGCACCTCTCGCACAGCTCGCTTAATTACGTCTGGGGGGTCTGACCATGTGTAGTTTTGCTAACATACATGTACATGTAGTTGCACAGCATTTTGATTGCTGAAGATCAGTGCAGCTTACTACATGGGAAAAGGACTGTCCAAACTCTTTATCTGAACTCGCTCTGTTTATTTCTCCACTTCCACTTGATGCTAGTATAACCGCTGCCATGAGGTGTAATACTGTCAAACAATGTAGCGGGTGTGTGGTTATGTGGTTGCATTACCAGCACACTGTCGTAGAGGTTGGTATATGCACCTTAATACTTCTACACAAACACCCCTTGCACAAGGGGTTTGTGCAGAAACCCTGTCAGACCGCAAGTATCTACTCCTAACCATGTTCAATTACCTGGGCAGCCACAGGGGAGTTCAGAGTCAGTAAATGATGAAACCGCAGGGTATGCTGAACACACTATACAGTACATGTGTTTATGCATGCTCACAGTGCACATTGATTATGTCGGTGACCAGGATGGTATCAGAAGGCCGTTTCAACCTCTTCTCGTTTTAACCCTCCACTTTTCTGTCGGTTGTAAAAAAAATGTAAATGCATGATGTTTCGTCATGGGTGTGGACAGTTACTGTTAAATAAACTTCATGCAGCGGGGATTTTTTGCCAACATTTTCACCAGCTTGATTGCCCCAACCTTGTTTGTCACAACTCATCCTGTTTGTTTTCGTTTGGTTGTAGTTATAAATTTACGAACCGTGATCATAGAAATTTATGAGCAATATAAATCAAACTTTATTAGTTCCTTATCTCATTGTGATGTATACTTTATGCTTCAACAAAAGCTGTTTCCTTTGTGGAATTTGCTCTCTTCGGAAAGGGTTAGTTTGCAACAATGACGGTCTTTCGTGTTATTGAGTTCAGCTGGGAAAGACCTATAGCGGATCAATGGGTATAATTGTTTGAAAATGTCATTACTTTGTCATGGACGACTGGAATTACTGGTGTAATAATTTTGATGCCGAGCCCATGAATGGATCCACACTCACATTCTTTGATCAAGATCTACATGTAAGACGACACAAAAAAAGGTTGGAACCATTTGACACTTTGAGAATTAAGGATTTGTTGCAAGGAAACATTTTTATTTAGTCAAGGAGAACGCCAAAGACGAGTAATTTCGCCGGCAGCCTTTCTAACTTTATTGTTTGGAGGTCACTCCCTCCGGAACGATAGTAGTGTTGCACAGTCAGAAGACGTTAAACAACGTAGAAATGCAAGATGTAAAATCAAGATGTATACTTCTTCTTTGTCTTCTTTCATTTTCAAATGTGCCAGTAGATAGAGACTTTAATAGCGACCACCAGACAGGCCTATGCCGAAAATTAGACTACATGTACGTCTAATATACAAAACGAGCAACAACAAGGTAGAAATGAGACTGATTAGCTGGTCACCTCTGCACAGGAGAAGCACGTGATGGTGAGCAGCCCGCAAGAGAATTCCCTGACAACAATCCCCCTGCAGAAATAGAACATAATCCAGCTATTCTTGACAGCTACAGAGTCCAAGTTGAAAATGGTGCACTGCCACATCCCATCAAAAAGCGAGGCGCAGAGAGGAAAAGCACCAAGTCATTGCATAAGACAGTTACTGGTATTGAAAAAAAAGATGTAACGACCCAGATGCCCGAAACTCTGATTGTCATTCCAGAGAAATTGCCAAAAGATTACAGCAGCAGAGGGAGAGTGTCTTGGGCATTGCACGCAACATTAATTTTGGTGAGAAAGAACATATTTTACTACGCATGGCTTTGACTGTAGCCTGCAGAAAGGATAAATAAATGAAAACGTGGCTGCTTGGAATGACCTTCACAAAAGGCGACATAATTTCTATGTTGAAGATGATAGAATCGAGAGATGGATTTTCTCTGTATGATGACATTGTCAAGGTTAACTCTGCATGGCATTTCCATGTTTCGACCAACGAAATACTTCATGTTGGACATGAAAAACCCAACGGAAATAATCGAGCATCTCCGACAACTATTGCCTGGTTTCTTTGCCCCTAGACGACAAACTGCCACAGTGAAAGCTGAGATGAATGCAGAGTTAGCTATTCTTCATCCTAAGGGAGCAGCCACGGGTATGTCTACATCTCCACATGAGCTTCAGCATTGTCTTCTTTGCTTCCATCACTGGTTGAGAGGACAAGAATTTAGTGGTTTTTAGAAACGCCTGTAATATAGGCAGAGAAACAGAGGTACCAGTAGTGTTGCATCTTGTTTCAAACTCGTGTACTGATTGGAGGGTTGAGTATTGACAGGACACGCTACAACAATTCCTTGTCGCAAATAAAAATATGCCTGTAAAACAATGCAGGATAATAAAAGCATGAATACCAGTACGCATGCAACAATTGAATTACAAGCTAAGATGTAAGAGACGTTGAAAAGAGAGCATAAATGAATATTGCTGTCATAGTTCAATGATTTTGTCATTTAGCAGTTCCAGCATGGTCATCAAAAGAACGGACTTTTAAGGCCAATACAAAACAGGGATGTTAGCGCAGTGCAACTATTGTTGGATAGTTTTCGCAAGTCATTTACATAAAATGTCACAACTGTACCTCCAAATCTGAAAATTTCCTGTTTCATGTATCTGGAGGGTTGTTTCATTCATTTTGAATCAGAAAGATCACAAATTATTTAACAATGTTGTCCGTGACAGAAAAATCAGCTGACCTGTACGTTAACTGGGGTAACGGATACAACACATACATGTACATGTATCAATATATACATGTATAATCCCATGCTGCCTAGCTCTTGGATTAGCTGCTGGGGTAACCGATACAAGACATATCAATGTATATAATCCCATGCTGCCTAGCTGTCAGATTGGCTCCTGGGGTAACTGATACAAGACTTATCAATTTGTCTACATTCAGGAGGTCAAAGCACCAAAAGAAGAGATCTGGTCGTAAAAAGCCCAGAATTGATGACCTGGCTATCAGTTGTGCATCTGACTCCATACAAGTGATGGAAGACACATGGAATATGGATGATTTCTCTCTATCATCCTCACCATTGTGCCCTGCCAATCTACCATCTCCACTTGATGATCAACTTCCTTCCTTTGACAACATCAACACTGAGTGCTAAATCGGAGTCTCGGATTGACCACAATACAGGTTCCACTAAAAAAACACAAGGTCCATGAACAAATGGAAATTTACATTGTAGCTACTTCAAGTACAAGAGGGTGCAGACATTGTTTGCACTATGAGGCCATTTCAAGTAAATTCCACCGATTTGGCTTTGTTCTTGCCCTCAGGGTGGTTTACAGAAGCCATTGTTCAGGGATGTGATTTGGGGAAAGTGAACATCCACGAAACATTCCTCAGAGGGTTTTGCAAGTCGCGTCGGCCACAGCTTCCCTACAATTTGCTGCATATCTATTTGATTATAGGAGGAGATTCAGGTACTACATGTAAGCCACCACAAAAGCTGTTCTTACAATTACAACAATTGTAACATTTACTGCAACAAAACCCTTGTCCTTATTCACTTCAATTGCAATTATACATGTAAGCTATAATTGGTGACAATCAAACACCTACAAGTGTAACACACACACACGCAGTTATCAGTGATCCACAAAATTTTATCTTCGAGATGGCAAGCATTTTGATGTCCTTCAGTCCACCAACCGGATGCTTTAAAAGCACTTCACACTACAGTACGTAGTTTGTTGATTTTCACAAGGAAGTGACGACAAAATATTGATTTCCTCTTGGTTAATTCTCTGTCCACCTCTGTTTCCAGCCAGGAAAATTTCCAAGAATTTTTGAATCCTTTGTCAACATTCATATCCACTTCCCTGCCTACTACAAGTACCTTGTACGACATTTTTGATGGATGACGACGACATCAGACCACCACGAGAACGAAATGAAACGCAATGGCAGACGGACGCAAGTTTTACACAGTGCATGCAACGACAACACGTATACCGTGCATACACACACAGCGAATATACAGTACTGTACATGTACCAGTACACTGGTCACCTGTTCAAAAATGCATCATCTTCAAAACAGCCGTCAACGTACAGTACATACACATGTATATACGGGTACATGTAAAACTCTACCTGGCACATATCCTCAATACATAATCAACTCTCTTGATCACAGCAAACCTAACCGAAGTAACCTCCGCTCAAAACACAACCTAAAAATACCACGTACATTCAAAAAAGTAGGATACAGGGCTTTTTCTGTTGCTCGACCTACATGTACATGTAGATGCTGGAATTCATTACCTCTTAGTATTCGTAACTGCAACTCCTTACAACAGTCCAAATGTAAACTTAAATCTCATTTGTTTCCACTTTAGGTTTGGGTCATCTGCTCCCACTAATTTTATCTTAGCACCTGGTTTACTTTCCAGCAGTTGCTTTTTTTCCAGCGCATTGTAACCTTCGGAAAAATGCGCTTTATAAATGTTATTATTTTTATTATCATTATAATTTCCTGAATGATAGGAAAATTCAAGAAAAACCAACAATAATCTTTCCACAGAAAGGATAAAAAAAAACCGGTGTTCCCCAAGGCAGCGTAATCAGTCCGCTTCTTTTTAACACTGCAGTTAATGATCATTCCGAAATCCTGCCTGATGCCAAAATCTCTCAGTATGCAGACAACATACTGTACATGTACATGTTGTATGTACATGTACATGTAGCTATTTGGAAATCAAACAGAAACATCACTTTCCTTGAAAAGAAAATTCAAAAATATTTTGATTTGGTGTGAAAAATGGTGATTTACTGTAAGCTATCACTTCCAAAAACGATTGCAGTCTTTTTCACCAGCAAAAAGAAGGTCAACGTCTTTCTCCCCATCCAAAACCGATATCCAAATCCTACGATCAGCCAAACTCTTGGGTGTCACTTTTGATGGTACTGGTAAATTAACATGGAAACAACATATTGACAACATCATCTTAAAGTGCAAAAGAAAACTCCACCTTCTCCGCTGTGTCAGCAGTACCACATGGGGCAATGACTGCAGACCGTATTTCAGTTGTACTCCCCTCTAATCAAATCCATTCTCAAGAAATTCTTCGAGAAATTCTGAACAGATGTGACAATTCCCGTATAATTTGCAGAGATTTAAATAGTCATAATCCTTTATGGGGCAGGTCTACTTTGGACCATAATGGACAGATTGTTGAAAATCTGCTGGTAGATACAAACATGGTCTGTATCAACTCTGGTGAAGGTATAAGAATTGATACTTCTCACAACAAACTTTCCTGTACTGGCATCACTTTCATGACACCACGGCTGGCTGCTAAGAGTAATTGGCATGTTCTTGACGATACTTGGGGCAGTGACCACTGTCCTTTTATTATTGAACTTAACCACTCCATCTACACTAATCCATCCGTTTTTCATTCCAAATGGTCCCTGAAAAAAGCTGCTTGGGACAAATTTGAAGAAGCCTGTCATCAGAACATACATGTACATGTACATGTATCTGAACCCAATATTTCCAATAACACATGTGGTGTAGGATAACTTCACTCAACAACTCCAGTCTGCCATGTCCAAGTCCATACCCAAAACCAACCCCAAGCACCATAAAGCTCCCAAACCCTGGTGGAACGATGAGTGCAAAGTGTTATTGCCGAGAAGGTTAACTCTTGTCTTTCCTGGATTTTAGAAAGCCACAACCTGCTTCCACAGTATCGGAGTGGTTTTCGCAAAGGTTGGAGCGGCAAAGATTACATACTGAACCAGGAGTTTTCTATTAATAAAGCAAGATCTAACAGCGCGAGCACTCTTGCCGTTTTTCTGAATATATAAAACTGCAGGTTAAAGGTACATTGTATAACTGGGAGAGTAACCAAATGGATCAACAACTTCCTCACAGACAGGAAAATTCAAGTAAAAATCAATAACTTTCTTTCGGCAGAAAGAATCTTGGATAAGGGTGTCCCTCAAGGGAGTGTTATCAGTCCTCTCTTGCTAAAATATAGCTGTTAATGATCTTTCTCACAATATGCAGACGACATTGCCCTTTGGATATCAAACAGATATATAGAAAAGAAAATCAAACAAAACCTCAACAGCATCAGCAGTTGGCGTGACGAATGGAGTTTTAAGATATCGATTGCCTGAACTACATGTATTGCTGTTCTTTTCACCACTAAGATACGAGCCAACATCTCTTTGAATAACCATAACAACAACATTCAACTACAACCTTCAGCTACATGTACAATGTAAATTCCTAGGAGTCACCTTCACATTGGACGATTCACTACATACATGTACATACTGATGGATCTCACAACGCAACTACACGTACATGTACACGTACATGTACAAATACATGTACATGTACTATTGGGTGCGGTATTTACATGTACATTCCCCAAATTAACTACTCCAAAGGTTGTTGGCTGAATGACAGTATTTCTGTATTCACAGCAGAACTCTTTGCAATACTTCTTGCTGTTGAATGGATTGAGGATGTCAAACCCCTCCATACATGTACATGTATTTTTAGCGATTGTCTCAGTGCAATTCAAGCCATATCCAAACCCTTTACCCAACATAAATTGTCTCCGATATACAGTATGTCCTACTCTCATCAGAGTATTCGGAATCAACGCAATATCGTCAATTGTGAATGGATCCCCGGTCACTGTGGTATCCCTGGTAATGAGAGAGCAGATTGGATCGCTAAACTACCGATACCTACATGTACATGTATATGTACATGTACATGTACCAAGAAATACATTGTAGATCACTGTATCTCCCATCTGAACAGCAAAATCAAATGCATCCTCAAACAAAACCTCAAGGAAAAATGGGCCGAAACCATCCTGAAATTACATGTAGGTCCTGTCAAGAACATCAGATTTGACTGAGCCTTCTTTTTCTTTTACATGCCTAGGAGTATGTAAAGGCTTCAAGAAATTCCTATGGACAACACTGGTAAACACCTAGGTGGACTTTGCAAAGTACATGTACATGTACCGGGTATGTGCACGGACGCCGCCGAACACTTTCTCCTAAAATGTAGCAAATTCATCCCACAAAGAGGAACCCTTCAACAATCACTAGGCCTCATCACTGGCACACAAATGAACCTTACATGTACATGTACATGTACATACATGTACATGTATCTTCTTAAACAAAAACATTACAGTTGCCATATATCCTGAAATACATCAAAAAATGCCACATCAGTATTTAATCTTTTCTTTTATCTCGCAGGGGACGAGAGCTGTGAGCGGTTGGCTGGGCATAGCATCACAATTGCGGTCAGACCAAGGGATGCCAGTGATGATTGCACCATGTTGGCCAAGCAACTGTAGTTTCCTGTTTTCTGGAGAGGGCAACTGTTACCCCAAAATGGACAAGCTACATGTACTACATGTAACTCTCAAATTCAGCAGCACCCAAGACCCACTATGGAAGAAGTTATCTCTGATAGCAGAGCATTTATCAGAAAAGCCTCACTAGAGTCAGAACTATCAGAGCGGGCAACGTCAATCATCCTCAGTGCATGGAAACCTGGAACCCACAAACAATACTCAGTGTACATCTGAAAATGGAACTCATTTTGTTTGCAGAGGAAACCTAATTGTATTTTGCCATCTACATGTATCAATGAAGTGATTGATTTCTTGACTCAGTTGTTTGATGAAGGCCTTGGTTACAGTGCCATAAACTCGGCCCCAAGTGCACTTTCACAGTTCATTATCTGGAAAAAGAGGATTATCATTTGCTGTTACCCATGGGTAGTTAACCCCCTGTACAAGTACTGAGCATACAGTGCTTATTAATATACGTTGGGTAAGGGCAAAACCGTTATATAATTAACATCTCCCCAACACAAAAATACATCTTGAAAATAGTTCGCGGTACCCACTGCTTCATTTGACTCGGACCGGCCAGCCGACCCTGGCAAGCTCGGTGGTTGAGTGGTTAAGACATTTTCACTAGTAAGCAGGAGGTCGTGGGTTCGAGTCCCACCCGAGTAAGCTTGTGAGGTTTTTTTCGCAAGCTCTTGAACAAGCACTAAGCATACAGTGCTTATTAATACATGTATATATTGGGTAAGGGCAAAACCGTTATATATGATTAACATCTCCCCAACGCAAAAATATATCTTGAAAACCCCTGTACCTTGTTATAATGATACACGTGTACATGTGCGTGGGATTCCTCTCTTTTCCTTAGGTACT